GGTGATAGCGGACGAACGCTTGTTCTGGAGAAGGGAGGAGCATGCTTCTGCTTATAGGGGGACGTTTCAGAAATATTTCTTCATAAAATTTCTATTAGCGGCAGCACCCTGTGCGACTGCCATATGTAAAAGTCTGCTGGTGCGTGTCATATGCAAAATTGTTCACTTGTCAGAGGGATATGCTGGCCCCCAGAGATCAGCTGTGGATCGAGTCTGCGTCCTAACCTCAATGTTAGGAATACAAATGTACACCAAAGTTCTATCAATGCACTAGTAGGGGAATGCTTACGTCGTGTCGATTCTTCGGGATTTGCTGGACGAAGTCATTTTGTGAGGAGGAGCGTGTTCCTTTCCCGAATTCTCGCTCATGGAAAGAGGTTGAACCTGATGGGTGGGGGAGTACTCACATAGCGTATCAGTTATCAGGAATGCTAGCGTATCAGTTGGAGGAAAGAGTTGTGGCAAGGGTGTGTATCGCTGATCAGCGAAACCGCTTGAAGCCTGTGTGGCGATCGAATGACCGCCTCTTTTTCGCTTTTATACGCCCTCATCCCAGGGTTGGAACTCCACATCTGCTACTTACCCATCTTCACAATTCGATACTGGGTAGGTAGTTCACAGGGTGTGTGGGTTAGTCATAGAGCATTTTCTCGATGCATGGCTAACGACAAATGTCTGCGTCCCGTACCTTAACCTAATGGTACATAAACGAAAGGAAGATGTGTTTACTGAAATTTGTAGTCTATTTTTGTTCTCATAAATAGTACCTCATGAGCCTTGATTTCAGGCTCTTACCGTCCAATCGATAATTCCACTGTTCACCGTCTTCCCTGCATCGATATCCTTTATGCTGACACAGTTTGGAATGGTGCACTATCATTTCTATTGTTATTTCATCACATCATGTTTGAGTGTTGGTGAGTAAATCTGTTAAAGGATTGAATTGATGTGGTAAAAAAAATTATGAAAATAATGATGGGAGGTGGGCTGCATGTAGAAAAAAGGGAAAAGTCGTAAAGCAACAAGAATACGAGCCGTCTTTCGCTCTACGGAAAACTTCAAGAAGGAAATGGTGAACTGGTCAGTCCGGCTATTTGAAATGGGATGTATACCTTATCTATTTTCGTTATCTGTGGAACGTTTCCTGAAAGAAGTTATGAAGCGGGAAATCGCGCTGGTAGTGACCTTGACTCACAGGCAATAGGTCGCGAGATCGGCTCCAGTGCAGTCAACACTTTTGCTCTTTTTAGAAATGTGGCTAGAAAGACATTCAGCATACCTTTGAAAAAAGCAAAAGTCCGGACTCGCGTTGGTCGATCCCATGTCCTCTTGCCTGTGAACCAGGGTCACTACCACTGCGCTTTCATGCTTCATGATTTCTTTCAGGGAATCGTTCCACACGTATCGAAAGTAGATTTGAATGCAGCGTCTCGAGTCACGTATTTGAGTGTGCATTTCATTTCAAATAGTTGAACTGACCAATTGATCCTTCCATGTAAGTGGCAGGCTCGGAGATGAGAGACAATATGAGTTGCGAAGGGGTGAAATTTCAAGTAGCTCTGTTGCGGCATGACTGCCTCTTTACCCTCGCTACCATTTACAGAATCTTACGGTCATTCCCAGTGCCAGCACTCGACACATTGTAGAGAATTGAATTCTACACTGTTCTTCTGAGGAAGTTTTCTATTTCCAGCTACTCTCGTTGATCCGATCGTAACTATTTACTATGTGAGTCCGTATCGCCGATTCGTTAAGAGATGCTTGGGATGGAGTCAAAAGGATCCGAAGGAGACGATGTTGAGGCGTGATTCAACGGAAAAGACGAACAGTTTTCGAAAGTCTTTCAAGAATTTGCTACACCACCCCGACTACAAAACTCCTGTAGCTCTTTAGGTACAGCGTTTCCTATTTCCTCCACTAGACATTTCGAAGATATACCAGCCATTCCTGAACAAAGGTTCAAAAAAGTATCGCCATGTACACGGGGGGTATGGATACGTATTTGATTCTTCGGATAAAGTGAACTCGTTGAAGAAAAGGAGCTTGGAAGGCTGTGAAACGATGCGTAGGGGCCTTCTCTACGAAAGGTTCTGGAAGCAAACTAGCAAAGGGACTACCCATTTTTCGCGTCTCTGAATTCTCTCCTTCGCGTCAAATTCCCAGCTGCAATCCTTGACCTGCATGTGTTCTCTAGCCCCTGTGGCATTGATGGAAGCAGCGTTAACTCTAGTGCGAAACTGTTGTGGAATCTCGTCCGCCGGATCCAAAATCAACTATAGCAACTGCCCTACCCCAACTCCTCTGACCCCCAACTCTCATATGTAATCTCTGATTTGCCACCTCTCGCTAGAAGTCGTATCGCTTAATAAAGTCACGGATCAACGAGATTAATCTCTCATATTCTCTTTTTATTTTAATACGTCCTACTCAGAATTTACGTGTAGTATCTACCTGATGATTGTACTGGTCTCTTCAACATTTCTACAAGGTCGTAACAATATTAGGTGGGTAAAATTGTTTTTGTAGCATGCAATTTGGCAACATTTTCTAAAATGGTTCATCACTTTTATTGGTCACTGTTGCTACTGTGAATTCAATAAAGTTTTACCGCTCGTATTTTCCCATGCAACATTTAATAATATCACTAGTTCCGCAAAATGTTAATCAAACGCGTCACATGACAACAAAGGCAGCAAATTAGAAGTTGGTTGAGTTTTTTGAGTCGACAGAGGTATTTCGAAAGACCTCTGCAGGACACTCTTTTCGTGATCAAGGTGATATAATATTTTCGAGAATTTCTCGAAAGTTATGCAATCATCATATGCCATTTTTTTGCTCAAGAATTGTCTTGGAGATATAAAAGCTCAAGCTTATTATCCGGTGAGCGTATTCCATCCCTATAAGGTCACATTCCTCGTAGTCTGATCTTTAGCACATTGACGACAACGCTGGTTTCGAGATTTTGCGCCGCGTAGGACCAAAACGATTTTGCTGGCGCCGCAGCTTCGCATCGAATCCATGAATTTCGAACTGCTGTAAATACAGAAACCTGGGATGCGACAGAATGTTGAATAAAATTCGATGTGTAAAAATTTTGGAATGTGCAACTGTACCAAAAATCCAAACGTGGAATGGCAATGAAGAGGCAAGTTTGGTTGCTTTCGCTGTAAGGACCTCAAAATTATTTTGACGCTGTTGCTCCACTGGAAACATGTATCCTGCTACACGTATAGATCTGTATTTACTTCTTCTACTCTTTTTTTATATTCGTTTTCAAGAGAATGCAACAAAATGAGGGATGAGCCGAACTGAAAAATCATAGAAATTGGAGAAACTTTGCTAAGTGTGGAGAAATTCAATCTTCGGTCAACCACACTGTTTGTGGTCACGTTGCAATGTGATCTAAAATATTAATGCAAAAAATTAGAAAAGAATTAGGGCATGCGCGAAAAAAAAGAATTTGGCTTTGAAGCACATGTGCTGCACACGGTCCCTCACGGTGCTCAAAGTGTGCTGCCATCACGACTAGATTTATAGGCAACAAACTTAGCCCTTTTTGTATTAATTGATGATCCTGTAAAAAAATAAAATAGAATGCTATTAGGTCGTCGCAAAATTGACCATTTTTTGAACTTCCACTACTGATGTCTTTTTCAAGTGACGAATAACAAATGAATGCACCACCACCATTCGTCGAAACTCTGCCTCAAGCTTCTGAGTGACGAATTTGTAAAATTCCTTTCCGAGGTGGTCCGGATCGTCGGACTTTTTATCTCAGCTATTTCGACAGCAACAGAGGCAGATGTTGCTTTTCTGAAGGTGGTCTGCTAAACGCACCACGCAATTAAGGTAGTATTGTGAGGAGTTTGTTTATTTTTGCTGGATCTTCGTAACTTGTAGACGAGAGTTGCCAGAATCAACTAATTTTTGCTGTTTTTTTAAATAGTGCCAGCAAGCCCATTAAGTTGTCTTCATAATTGTCCAGCTATGGCAGGGGGTTCGTTCTCGACAGCTCCTAAAGCAGTGACAGCGGCACTATTCTGGGTCGTTTCGCCGAGTAGCTCCGGAGAGATTTTTCGAGCCACTCCTAACCTAAACTTCGCTGATTTTGAGCTGGATTAGGATAAGGATAAGGATAAAGCATTTGCCGTTGATCAATCCCTTTTTGGGATGCGGCACGCATTCTACTTCCATTTGTACATTCGTAGTGGCGTTTGAATGCGATGTGGCCTATACAATGACTTGCGGGGGCCAGCCGATGTACAAGTCAGTGTTTTTTTATCCTCCCAGACAAGTCTGGTACCAATTAACCGGAGGGATGGAAGGCTTGGTTGGCCCGGGCGACTCACGACCCAGGATTTGATCCCGGACCGCTCGCGTGGTAAGCGTGCCACTTGCCACTACACCACTTCCGCCCTTTGAGCTGCAAATACGAAACAAAAATCTTAAATGTGGCAAATGTTTCCATTAGTGCAATTAATATTCAGGGAAAGGAGTGTCTGGACGAGTTCTCTCAAAATTTATGACACCATGCCGCTGATTGATAGCTCAAAATTTCAATGCCACCTGCTTATTTTGCAAGCAGCAGAGAAGTTTCCTATTATTGCAGAAGTTTTCCAATATCGTCCATGGGTTTTGCTTCATCGTCCTGTGCTCATTTGCCGTGCAATCATAATGTAACCAAATGGTATAGAAAGAGTGGACTACATACGCAATATTTCATACCTGATTCTACACCAGCGATGATTTCTCTGCAAAACTACTTTGATTCATAGAGGGAACAAGCTGAACAAAAGGTGTTTAGCAGACGCAACGCCACTAGCGTAGTGGACGCTCTCCTTCCAGGTGGCTGGTTTTAATTGTGAGGTGGCGTCAAGATATAAATTCCTATAAATGACACATTTACCCTTCTCTCCATATTTCGCACACTGCAGGCTGCGAACCACCCATTTGCAAACTTCTGGCGCCATTGGGGCGGTCAAATATAAAACCCGGACCAAGACGAAAACGCGATGCGCTCTCGAAAAGTTTTGAGACGGCAGCACGAATGACCCGTACCACGAAATAATCATAGAGAATCACTGAATATGAGCTTGTTCCTCGGATTTATCGCTGCTTCTTGGACTTCTCGATTCTCTCCTACTTTTAAGCCTTCGCAAGTAATCTAACCAGAGGCGAAAGAGTCACAAAGCGGTCTGCAGTGCGACGGCCCGGCCGACAGCAAGGGCCGTTAGACGAGTTTTCGTGAGGTCACTTTTTTCTCTTGAGAAGTAAAGGAGAGTTTTTATCCATGCTAGGTAGAAGGGTAGTGGATTAGGGTCACCACCAAGGACTGATTGTCGGCCACCTTTTTGAGATTGGGTGCAAATGTCAGTTTCTGGAAGTTAGCGTAGAGCGATAGCTTGATCCACTGGGCAAGCATATCACATTTGTTTGGTCCATAATCGGAAATGACGTCACCATCCATGACGTAGCACCGCTCTGACACTTGTTTTGTGCTTGAAGCTGATCTCTCTAAACATAACAGCCTTGTATGCATTGTGAATTTCAACATTAAATGGTTTTTTATACTCTAAAAAACCTAATTACAAAGAGCAAAACTTCATCTCCTAGCACGAAACCATCCATGGTTTCACCATTGGAAGCCGCTAGACGACCTTTCGGCCGAGCCCTGCTTCCAGGCACCGTGCTCCGGTGTCTCCTAAGTGGGCTTTCATTAGAAGCAAGTAACTCCAATCGGAGAACCGTTCCACAAATTTGAAAGGTGGCTTTGAGATCAACACTCGAAAACACATTGGCAGGTATAGGCCATTCCGACATGGTATCCTTTCCTTGAAAGAAAAATTCAAGTTGAAAACGTGGAAAGAGCGCAGCCACTCCCTTTTTCACTACTACATCCCGATTCAGAGAATGAGATTGCTGATCTGCTCAGGAGTCCCTTACCATCCATGTTATACCAGCTAACTGAAGAAGTGAAAGGAATGGGTTGCTGGAGTTCGCAGATGGAATGAGGGCAATGTGTGTACTAAGCAACTCGCTGTCTGCTTATCAGCTTATGTTCTCAAGAATATTGACATATCAACACCTCATTTTACTTCTTTTCTAGAGGAGAACGATGCAAAGTGAAGCAAGATTTTCTATCAGCTTATGAGATCCGGAAAAACTTCTTTCTCGGACGCGCAATAAAATAGCAATCAGCTTCATCCACTGCTCCAGAGAAGCAACTGTCCTTTCCCTCGTCACCTTCAGTAATAATCTCGCCCAACTTGAAGTTCCAAAACTATCTGTTCGTCGTTCCGTAAGGAGCCAGTACTTGGAGCATGTGTTATATAGAGAACTTCAGCGACATTATGCCCGAAGACGCGTCGAGTGCTTCATGATCCTGAGCAGGTTCTTTAACCCATTCGCGACCGCGCAGGATTGCGCAATAGCAGCAGCGTCAGGAGATTTTTCTTCAATAAAATTCGAGTGGAGGGAGATTTCCTCTGCCCAGGGCTGGCGTAGATGAGCGAGGGTATGAAGATTCTTTTCATGGAAGAAAACTTTCCAAATTCCATTTCAAGCCCTGCAGCCACAGTAATGCCATTGTCCCGAGTGAGAGCTTTGTCAGCCACCGGTGGCTGACATTGTCACGAATGGGTTAATTACAATGGATTCGGAATGGAGCAGGTGAATAAGTACAAGGTTGATCTCACATAACTCTTGGAACCAACTAAATACACATCTAA